AATGAGAGATTTGCCTTCAACCTTCCACAGAAGAAGATTTTTAGCTTTAATTTGGGACAGTAAAGGGGTTTTTCAAAAGCACTAAAAGACAGTGGGAGAGCTCATTCAGCTGCTCCCGATGCCTTTAAAAACCCCGCCACCAAAAGTGATAGCTGACAACATGAAATGGAAGTAAATAAAATGCATTTTAATTGCTGTTTTGAGTTACATAATTCTTGTTTCTTGATTTGTTAGTTGATCTGAATTTACATGGATTTCATCTATATGGTGGCCAAGAAAATGGTCAGTAACTGGTAAAGATGCAGAGTATAGCCACAAAGCAAGCAATGTGTAGGTGTAGACCCTAAGAGGGTAGCAAAAACAAGTAACAGAAGTTCACTGCCTACAGCCGTAAGTCTTTTGTGTCCACATCTACCAATCTAGATGGCCTTTTCAGTATTTACCAGCAGATAACACACGTTCCCCCATGACTTAAAGGCATCAAAGGACACACAGGACCCAGGCACAGATAAGAACTCACAGACATCAGGCAAACGTCACTGCATGGAGCACTGAGCATGTTCTTCCTGCTCTTCAGAACACAGGGCAAGAGCTCCCTTAGCTCTAGGTCAGCTTGTGCAGACAGATTGCCCTGGGTGGGTGCATCCTTTAAGTCCTCTCTGGCAGCCCATAAGAGATGCAGCAGAACAAGGATCTAACAGAGGGTTTGGCTCTACTCGATGCACCAGAAATCACTCCCTTCTGTATTCTCTAAAACCCAGGCCACAGAGAGCCCTGATACCATGACTGGGTCCTTAATTTCACCCCAAAACTCCCACACAGAGCCTAGCAACTTGTACTGGGCTAAAGTATTTCCTCCAGAAATGAGCTATTAAATCAAAAAAGGCATTCAACTGATGGGGATTACATCACTGGTCTGGTGAGGATTAACCAGTCTCACCATTAAAAAGCCATGTCTGTCTGTATTTGATTTTTGTGTAGCTTTAGCTTCTATCCATTGCATGGATATTTGTACATCTTTCCCTATTAAATTTAAAGCCTCATTAATAGAAAGTGTCTCCTCCCTTTAAAGGAATCTGATTGCTTCTTGATCTTCATTGTAAGCTGAACAGACTCTGCTGTAAGCTATTTTCCTCCCTGAAATAACTTTTTATGGCTCTTCACTGCACAACCTCTATTTTTTACAACATCTTTAAAAATGAACAGTGGAATAGTTGGCACATTTTTAATTGGATCTCATTTATGCCATATGCAGATACCAAAATCATAATCCTCTTTTTGTTCATTACCCTGCTCTGCATGGGATGTGCCTGAGACAAGGTAACCTAAAGAAAGAGACTGAAAAAGGGGAGAAGAGGACGAGGGAAATGTGCAGGGTTACTGAGTTTACAATTAAAACCATGTGAATCAAGAAAAATCCAGTGCAAATGAAACCTACAAACCAAACCAGTTAAGTACTCCAAATTCCCATGTTCTGGGAGCCCCAAAAGCAACATTATGTGCTCTGTTGTATAAGAACAGAATAAAACAGAGCCCTCCCTGTCCTGCAGCTCCCTACACTGAAAGTACCACTGGGTTTCTGTGGTTTGGAATCCTGCAGTGAAGGGTTCTTGAGGAATTCGGGTTCTGCAGTAACCAAGTGCTGGCACATCTTCATCCAGAGACCCACGACAGGACCCAGAGATGCTTTCTCTTCATAAAAGCAAGCTTTTCTTGATAGTGGAAATAACCACAGGTAGTTGAGGTGGTTACGTTTAGCCAAAGAATTGCTATTTCCATCCCACCAACAGCCAGTAGCAATGACTGGAGCTTGGCTTTGTTTCCTCTGCAAGTTGCAAGTCCTTTTGGTTGACCAGATGATACACACAGCAGCTTCTCTTGCATTTTTAGGGCTGCAGCCTTTTCTTCTTCTTTGTTTTCAGCCAGGTTTTTTCACCCTTTTAATGTGCATGTGCAATGCAAGTACAGAGTTGAGAGGCAAAAGAGGACAGGGATCTCTATCTCTCCCTCTTTCATGCGATAAGGCACATGAGGCAACACACTGTCCAGTAGTATTAGTTCACACAGCAACACAGCAGTGAACACTGTTCATTCCCAGCTACTGTCAGTGGTACCTGTATCAAATCCTGATGTTATCATGTGTTATCTTACGGGTTTGGGAACTTTACAATATTTTCAGAGTCCAGCAATGACAGAATCCAGTATAAAAAAAGGTCAATATATTACTGTTGAAAGTTTTTTTTTCCTTTTTTTATACAAAAATTAAAAAGATCCAAATATATCACATTATTTACATACTGTGCTTCATGCTTAGAGATCACTGAAAAAGAACACACAGACAAACATTCTAATCAGAGAAGCACTCCATTCATTACACTTGGGAATCTCATCGTTAGTATTATGATGATTGACATTCAGATTTCTTCTCATATTAGCTTTACATCCACATGGCTTACCACAGAATTAAAGACTTTTACATGCTAAGGGTGTGCTCAGTTCTAACCAAGGGTTTGCATACAGTTAGTAACGTGCTTGCTGTTAACTCGAACTGTGTCCATATACCGCATGTTTGAAACTGGGTTAGTGATTCCACTCAGCTTCACTGCCCTACCTTTGCTGGAGAATGAGGTTACAGCCTCCTACAAGTCTGGATATCAAGCCCTCATCTTACAGGGGGAAGTGTCTCCTCATTCTGCCTTTATACTTGCAACCTCTGGCTGTTGTGGCTGTATAATATGGTGGGAACTCCCTGACCACCCGCACCCAGATTCACCGAGTACTGAAGCCATGTAGCAATGGTGGATTATAATTACAATGCAGAAAAGTCTTTGTTTGGAAATAAATGTTTTGTAACTCTGCAACAAAGAGTGAATCCACTGTAAAGGTCTCAGCTAGAGGGTATGGGCTGAGTCACACCAGCACATTTTACAGAGTGCCGCAGTCTTTGTATAAGTGGTTCCTAAACTGCCTGGCCCATAATAAAAGCCTAGCCTGAGCAAGCCTGGAAAAAAGGCATTGCTACCCACAGTATCAACAAGAATGATACGCCATTTTTGGTTCCCTAACACCAGCCTGTAGCTGTGGGGAGCAAGACATGAAGCTAGATGGAGCCTTGCCTCTTCCAACGCATGACATATGTCTGCCAAGCATGCAACATGGTGCTTATAGGATGTGCAGCAGCGCAAACAATCACCGTGCAGCAAACAAAATTACTCAGGACCTGCTCAAGGCTTTACAATGATTAGTACTGTACCTTATGCCAACATCCTGCTATTGGCAGTCCATCTGGTCCCTGCAAAATTGAGAGTACAGATTGAGTTTCCATTGACAGTGACTCAGGTGTCAGGACCCCAAAACCTGAAGCTCAGTCTTCACCATGAAACATTTAGCAACACCATTAGTTACCATGCAAAACCCCATTTACTCGTATGCACAGAAATAACTATGCAGTCAGTGTAACCCATAGGTCACCACACAAAACTGAATACATGCCAGGGTAAGAAAAAACCCAACCTACACTTGGTTTTTCCTTCAAACAGAAAGGAATATGTGAACAAATACAGAACTTTGGAAGCACAGTAAATTACCTTCATAATCTGCTTTATAAAACTGGGTTTTGCAATCAGGCATATATGGAAATCATGATGTGGAAATGTGTTGTTTTGTTAATATGAGCTTTTTAGTTTGGGGCAGTGATGTAATTTCTTTTCTGGATGATAGCCTTATTGTGTTAAATTGGATCCTGCAGTACTTAGCTCCTTTAAGAAATCTTGCTGAACTGATGGAAATGCCTGTGGAAATGGTCATGACTATGACCATTGACTATGGAAACTATTGAAATAAGCGGACTGTGCAAAAGCAGTGAAACTATTTGTCTTGTTCTGATGGAGATACAAGAAACACACAGAAATCAAAGCCAGAAGAGCTTACCAGGAGGGAAACACTGAAAAGGAAGGAGCCCCTTAGAAGAGGAACGGATTATGTGTGATTGACTCTTTTAAGATACTTTAGCTGACTTGAGCTGCCTTTTCTGATGCTGGATTTGTTTTAAGGCTCTTGGATCTCTGGTTGCATGAATTTCTGCATGTAGAGCTACAGAGAGCACACATGCGCTCACCCTGCCCTCAGAGCCACCTCCAAGTTACCCGGGGGTGGAAGCCCCGAGGATGCGTGCGCAGCGGAGGGAACTGCCAGTGCAAACACAGGTCAAAACTGCATTTTTACATTTTTTACTGTAAATGTCAGTCATCACATTTTTTGTATTCTGTATTGATTTTATATGTAAAATAGCCTATGCCCAATAAAACAGATGCAGTGAGTAAGGTTACCCTCTCGATGCTTGGAGTGTAACAGGTCGAGTTATTTGCATGTGCTTTCCTATAACATTAGTTAGAGCACACACACACATTTTTCTGCTGGTACCAGTCATATTTTGGGTTGTAAGTAGTGCAATTTGCACATTTGTCAGAGGTATCCGGGGTGGAGGGGACAAGGTACAGAGCAGTAATTTGACCTAGAAAGGTCCTGAGCTGTTAAAGCGCATCCTGATGCCAATGGGCACAGTGTTGATTTCTGCCCTGGGCATTTTCTGCCTCCCTTGAACTTAAAATACTTGTGGCCATCACAGAAGTCCACACATTTCTACCATGCTGCACTTGAGTGACTCCAGAATTGACTTGTCAGCTTCAAAAGAGCTTTGCAACCTGTGTGTGAGGCTCATGCTCATGCTCATGCTCATGCACTGAAAGCCATCCCTGAGAACCCAGCAAGCCTCCACCCTACAGTGGGGTGGAGATGAAGATGACACTCCCAGAGCCAACATGCAACTAACCCTCACGTGCATAAGCAGGAAGACATGCAAGTGCTTTACTAACTAATCATATAGTAGGTTACATACTGGAGAAATCACCTCCTGCAGTTTACAGTGCCTTCAGTACAGAGAGTTTTCTATGTAGTTAAGATGGGAGATACTTGGTAAACAGAGCATCTCGGGGGTTGAAGCGGGCCTGCTGCTAGTAATTGGTTTCTTTGACACATATGAAAGTACTTTAACTTCTTGAAAGAGAGACAGCTTACTGCCCTTTTGTTTCTCTGAAGGCAACTGCAAATCATCGAACATGCAGCATTTTCCATGGTCAATAAAATGAAACTAAAACAATGACCTCTTCTAACTCGTTGTGCAGAGGCTCTCTTGGGGAGCAGCGCACGAACTTCCCTGCGTAACCACTGCCCTTCAACCTGAGGTGCATGCTGACACCACAAATGCCCTTTAATGCTAGAGCAGTGACCTGTTCTCTGCAGAATTAGCCATTCATGTCAGGAAAGCTTTCCAAAACCTAGCTGGGAATCAGACTTCCAGCAGCACAGGCACAAGGCAACCAAACTGGGCCACAGGTGCTGAGGGAAAGCAGAACGCACTTATCATAAAGGGCAAACATCCTCTAACGTGATCTCCCATTGCCTATATTCCTTATCTAAGGCAATTTTAACTAGGAGGAAGAAGGCACAACACATCAGCATCCTTCCCTGTGAATGCCCAAGTGAAACATCTTGTTCCAGCCCCGCTGCCTTATGTCCCTTCCTCTCCCTGGAGGGATTCACTGGAACAGGGCTTGGCCACAGCAGAAACACACACAAGCCATGCAAGAAGAGGAAAGAGAGCAGATACTGTACCAAAGGGCAGGGCACGCTCACCCCATCCAGGCCTGGTAAACCTGGATCCCTTGTGCAGCCTGCAATGCTGCGATCTGCCTGTTTGAAAACACAACTGCTTGTTGAGAGGGAGAAAGGACATGGGAGTTACTCAGACTCCAGGACTTTACACCTCTATTTCTGATGACACAGCAAGTCAGCAGAGGGGTTTATGGCAGGGAATTCACAGGCACACAGAGCCTGTCATCTGGGAAAGATCTTCTATACACAAACCAGAGATGCACATTTGTAACAGCGCAGTGAAAAGGATGAGGGTTAAATCATCCAACATGTTGAGGGAGGAAGGGTGATCCGTCAGGAGCAATCAGATTAATCGTAGTTCACATTCAACCTCAGAGCAAAATAAAGCATAGTTACTGGAGGAGGTTTTTGCTGGGATAGTGGAGCTGTACAACAGCTTTGATGGACAAAACTGTGCTGACAGGGTGAGAAAAAAGTCACTTTTAGACAAGAAATGGGGTTTTGGAGCCTGTTGGAGCAGGTACCTGGCGCTATGAACTACATGCCTCTGAACAAATGTCCAACAGCCACATTTAAGGCCAGGTTGGATGAGGCTTGGAGCAACCTGCTCTAGGGGAAGGTGTCCCTGCCTGTGGCAAGGGGTTGGAACTGGATGAGCTTTAAGGTCCCTCCCAATCCAAACCGTATGATTCTATGATTTAAGTAGTTTCCAACCAATAAAAATCACTCTCTTTATCCTGCAGCCTCAAAGCAGAAGGGAAAGGATCTCTCTGGTTTTAGCCATCATATGAAAAGTGGTGATGGAGGAGGTAGATTCTGCCAGGCCAAGTAACTTGTTACGAACCAGGACAGGTTTTTTTCTGGGCCCTGTCAAAGGAATGAGAGGTTCTGGAAGCAGACATGGGAGAGCCACCTTCCTTAGGCTCAAACACACAGGAGTTTCCTGGAAGGCCTCTCTGTGCACACACTGCTCGGTGGTGGACCGGGATGCGTTCAGGAAGGGACAGGTCTGAGCCAGGCTCTTCTCCCAGAGGTGCTTTTTGGCATCCTGGGGAGCTCCAGCTCATCCATCGCTTACCTTTGGCAGCACCAAGATGCCGCCAGCTCTGAACCACATCCCCACCCAGAGCAGTGAGAGCCACGCTCGCCCCTCGCTCGGTTTGTGGAGACGAAGGGATGGAGCTGACCTCGCTTTCAAATTCCATCCACTGCACTGAGTTACTCCCTGATCTCCAGTGTACTCCAGAGCCAGGCCAGCAGCTTCACCAGGGCACACTATCTCCCAAAGAGCATTACTGAAGCCCATTGTTCCCCACTACAATAAAAAGGTCTTTATACAAAGATTCTTCCTTTTTACTGCTGTGGCTTGCTCCCATCTGGCCAGTGAGGAGCCCTTAGAGTGAGCAGCGAGCTTCCAGCAGTGCAGATAAACCATTAGGAAAAGTGAGAAAACAATAACCATCTGCTCTGATTTACTGCAGAATAAAGAACGAACCGAGCCCTCCCTCCCTTTCCCTGGCTGCAAACCCGCGTCTCCTTTCCCATCCCGGCAACGTGTGCTTAGGGTGAGTGAAATAAAGGACGTACCACGGGGCAAGGCTGATCCAGTCCGGGGGGCCCTGGTTCCCCCTTCTGCCCTTTGGCTCCTTTCCTGCCTGGAATTCCTCGCTCCCCCTGTTGGCACAGCAGGAAGGCATCAGGAACAGGAAGGGAAGCACCTTGGCTGCGGGTCACACAGCGCTTGCAGAATCCCCCCCCTCACCCAGAGCAGGGATGTCTGTACCAGTGTAACCACACCTGAGCAGTTAAATCAGTGTGAACACCTCCAGTTAAAGCTGGGTGGAGACATCTTAATGGATAATTTGATAACAGAATGATTAAATGACTGGTTCCTGCTATCTGACAGTGGGAGCATCAGCTTCCAGCGCTGTCCTGTGCTCAGATGAGTTCCTGCCTCTGGCTGGGCATCCCTTTATTTAAGGATCCCTGGAACAAAGCCTTTGACTCTGGTCCATTTTCAAGGTCTGTAAACCCAAACTAGCAATTCTTTATAACCTGGAGCTGTCAGGGTGCTCCATTTCCCCACAATGGTTGTGCTGGAGGGGGGCAGGATTGCAGAAAGCATTTCCCAGCAGGTGGGAATTAACTGGATGTCCTGCCTATGCTGGGACCAAGCAAATACTTGTGCACAGAGAAGGCCTTACAGGGATGACCAAACACAGCCAAGCTGGATAGAGAACCAGCACCCAGGGCAAGAGCATCATCCTACCCCATGAGCATCTCTACAGCCAGAACCCACTCACCTTCTCGCCTCTTTCACTTCGCTCTCCTTTCTCTCCTCTGAGACCTGGGAAACCCTGTCACAACCATTTTTAGGTGGAGAAGGGGAAGAAAAGAGGTTGTCGTGTTTAGTGCGTGAAACTAAACTTACTCAGCTCAACATAAGCAAACTCCAGCAACCAACCCGTCCTCCCGTGGTGAAGAATATGATACTTTCTTCCTGATGACTTGATAGGGCATCAATTTGTAATGAAAGCTGGTGCTTTACCATACCCCAGTAACACTGCAGCTATCAGAGAGGTCTCATTTCACTGAATCCAATCCAAGTATTCTCAGTTGGAAAGGGAAACCCCCACAGCATCTTTAACTGAGCGGTTACTGCTGTGCAATGGAATAATCCATCAACTGGCCTCAATTAAGCCCTTTCCTACAGACATCGTTCCATAAGCATCAAGTTTAAGGGACAGCAGTCTATAAAGTGTTAGATACATGCTTCTCTAATAATCTCAAGCAGTTTGGTGGCCTTTACCCATGCGTTCATGTTTCTACATATCACAATGAATGCTTTCCATACTCACATCCAATCCTGGCTCCCCCGGCTTTCCCTGCAGTGGTAAAAGTACAAGTTAAGACATGCTGTATCCAGTTTGGCTTTGCAGCAAGCTTATACCCAGTTAGTGACATACAGTGCTTGCTCAGCAGCCCTTGGGGTTGAAGGGGAGCCCCTCACCACACATTGGGGTAGTGTTGGTAATCCCAGCTCTGGTGGGACCCACTATGGAAGGAGTTTACAGCCCCTCTTTTAGGATTCCACCACAGCATCACTATTCCTTTCCCACACTGATAGTTACCTTCTCTCCTTTGGTACCGGGTAAACCAATGAGCCCTGGAGCACCGGGGAGACCCTTGGAGAAAGGAGATAACACAGCATTGGGATAGCTCCTTTACAGGGTTCTGGTGATGGCCAGAAATGAGACACAGGAAAACAACTCACAGCGGGTCCAGTGTGGCCATGGTCGCCCTTCTCCCCACTGTCACCTTTCTCTCCCTTTGCACCATCCAAGCCCTGCAGAAACAAACTGGCATCAGCCAAGATGACCTGGCAGCTCTGCCTCCCCCATGCATCCACCACCTCCTGCCACATCTCTGGGGTGCTTATACCCACACTGCTCTTAATGCCTTCCTCTTGACTGCATCATATAAGGAAGCAGTTCTAAATACAGGTTTACGCTGTGGGTTTGGAAGCCCTGACTTGCATGTGCCAGTGGCTCCCAGGACTGTGCTGGAAGGAGGTTTAGGATTGTAAATGTGTTTGGAAGGGGAAATGGCCTGTTGGCTGCAACGCCAAACTGCTCAACAGCATCACCAAGGGATGTGTTGTCACAGAAACATCAGTCCCCAGAGCTGACAGCCCTTTGTGAGCCTGTAAATAATGCACTGGCAGCTGGGGAACAGTGGGTGACATTTCATTTATTGACTTACTTTAGGCCCCTGGATTCCTGGAGGACCCTGCAGGAAAGACAATGGTGCATTTGAGCTAAAGACAGTTTCAGAACCGAGCCCCAAAGGTTGCTTCCCAAACGATTTCTTGCTCAAATCATGGGCTGACAATGGCCAAGTATTTCTTTTTCAAGACAGGTGGCAAAAGATTCTGACGTCAAATCGGGGGAAAAGGAACTGGAAAAGAGCACTTTGTGACAATAAAGCTGCAACACGAGCTGTGCTGAATGAAGTGACAGCAAGCTCTGGAGGGTGGCATCGTGCCACCGTGGCCCTCCAAACCTGGCACATCCTGGCCTTTCCGATGCCCTTGACAGCTCCTCAGCCTTTTGGAGCATCGTAGGTACCAAACAGCTTAGATCTCTGCACCAAAACTGCTCATCACCACCGCATCCTCGCACACTGCAGTCGATGCCACAAAACTTGATGACTTGGGTAAATTTATGGGAATACAGACAGTACTGCCGTAGGGAACAAGCTTTCCCATCACAATGTTTTCTCTTTTCCCCATTCCAGGGAACAACTTGGTTATTTGCAAAATGTGCCATAAACACGGATGTACTCTCCTAAATCAGGCGCGTCCAAAGACAGCACATAATGCTGCAGCTCCTCCCTGATTCTGACCCCAGATCCACAGCAGCCCACAGTGATTAAACACAGCAAAACACCCTCCTCCTTAACTAGTCACTTGTGATAACACATCTGCAGCGATGCTCAATTGCACAGGGTGCTTCCCAGAGTCCTACCATAGGGCCAGGTAATCCAGGCGGTCCAGGCTCAGGTATGATCTGCAGAAGGGAATTAAACGGCATGTGAATGGGACACAGAGACAAGATAGTTTGGGAATGGAAACCTCACGTGGCCCAGCGTCATGATTCAGTGCCCTCTGATTTAACAGCTTTAATCCAAAATATCTGCTAATCACAGTTGCTTGTAGCATTAATAAATAATGAACTCTTAATAAGCACATGGATCAAGCTGGCCTCTGGAACAACAAGTGTGAGCCATGATACTCAGTGTATCTGCCAGCCACAGAATGGATGCAATGGAAAATGAAGCCACTTTGTGCACATACCAGAGGGAGCCAGCCTTTTTGGTTAACCCCCCCCCCCCCCAAAAGCAGAACAAAATTGGAGCTCTTATGCCACTAAAATCTATCAAACCCCACCAGTTTGGCTTAAAAGAAAAAGGCGTTAATAAGGGAAAAAGGATGCCGGAATGCTATAAAACTGCAAGGAGCCCCGTTTGTTTTCAGAACAAAACACAGTTCCAACAGCAGCGTCCAATATCTCAACCACTAATTCAAAACCTAAAGCATCTTTGCAGTGCCAAGCGTGCAAAGCGTTCTTCCCACACAGATAAACCCCATTTAGGCACATCTGGAAGTTCTTGTAGCAAAGTACAAGTTCTTGCAGTTGGGTTTTGCTCCCCTTCACTATGGGGGTGGATGTGGGACTGGCATCTCCAGCCTGCACCCCCCAACCTCCCCTTACCCCGCATTATGGAGTAGGCTTTAAGTTGCCCAGATCTTACATGATTGTTCTGCAAACACGGTGACCCGGTGTCCCCTTTGTCTCCTTTTGGTCCTTCTGCTCCCTGAAGGACAGAAATGGAACACTGATGTGATGCACCCCCCAGGAACACAAAAAGAGGAGAGAAAATCGCATTTGTCTTGTCTAAACTCCAGCAAAGCTCACGTTCATCCCCAGGGGGCTTTAAGAAAGCATTTTCTTCTTACTACTGGCTTAGATCCCCTTCTGAATAAGCTGTTACCATCATTAGCAAAGGAAATGCAAAGCTCCCGCATCCTCCAGTGCGGCAGTAACGTATGGACAGGCCACTGCTTAACCCTGAGCACTTGGAGACATCAATACATAGAAGAACCAAGCAGCAGATGGAGAGGGACAGAGAGGTACGTACCGGTGGACCCGCTAAGCCCATTTCTCCTGTCTCTCCTTTCTTTCCCGTGATGCCCACGCTGCCCTGGTCACCCTTTGCTCCTTTGGGACCCTGGAAGTGTACAGAGAACAACTCACTTAAAGGAAAACCACTTAGAAACCATTCAGAAACAGCCTTTCTGCTGCTTCTCCCCATAGTGCAGCACCAGCTCATGGAAACATATTTCAACATTAAAGCTTACATATGCCATTTTTGCCGGCGCAGCAGAATTTGGCTGGGCCGTAGCAGGGACTGCAGCCGCTTAGGGTTGGGAGGGTTTACAACAGGGTTTGATGTGTTTGATGAACCACTCATAACAGGAGCCCCTCTAGCTTGGCAGATGTGGTCACGAGCAGCATCTGCACGCTCAGAGCTGAGCACGGCCATAGGCAAAGGGTGGTTAATGTAAGGAGACGCAGCTGAACGTTACAGGGCAGAGCTTGCTCTTGGCAGGCTGAGATTTGCTTTTCACAGCGACAGCGCTCGCAGACACACAGTAAACCCCTTTCTAACTCGGGTCCTGCAAGGTCTCACTTGATCCGGCCGTGCCCCACGCACCTTCTCACCATCCAGCCCCGGCGGGCCCGGCAAGCCCAGCTCTCCCTGCAGAGACACAAAGAAAGGGGAGCCCGTGGTAAATGGAACCAGGGAAGCATTTGGAAGGAAACGAGCTGTTCGCTTGTATCAGCAGTTGTGGGTTTGCCATTGGCAGGCTGGGGAGCAGAGGTAAGAATGCTTCATAGAATGGTTTGGGTTGGGAGACACTGCATGGAGAACCCCTGATGACCACATCACTCTGTGGGAAACACAGTGTGCATGGCAGAGATTGGGCTCACCTTTGGACCCGGAGCGCCTTGAGGGCCTGGTGGCCCTGGGGGACCTGGCGAACCCTGAAACACAGCAAACAACACGGGGATGAGCATGATGAACATGGTGTGTTATCCTTGGGTGAACTGGGAGCATAACTTGGAACGTGTGAATTATCTCAAGCAGGAAAACCTCATGTTGTCACTCAGCTGAAAACCAAACCAGCGTCATCTCCTCAAGCACCTTTCCCATGGCTGCACACTCCGATGCTGTGACATTCAAGCACAGCGGAAGCCTTCGCAAAGCTCTGCCCCTGAGACAGGTCAGTGCACAAACTGCAAACAGCAGGAAAACGGGAGCGTTAGTGAGGTTCAGTGGTGTGCCCTCTGGCAATCTCCACATGCAGAACACAGGAGAGGGGCTGGGCCCAGCACATGAAGTCTCTTCAGACGTTTGATGGAGCCTCTCCAACCACTGCAGTTCACAAACCCCACTCACGAAGCTGCATGCAGACACTTGGCAAACGGTAGTTACCATCACTTTGTGTATCCCTGCAGCCTGTTGTGAAACAATGAGAATGGGTCTCTAACGTATCTGCCTTGATTCTATTCAGATTCTTCCATCATACTGAAAATAGCAGGGTGCTGCTGGGTCGGGCAGGTTAGGGCTCAGGCATCATTTCCCTTCCTCCCACATCCCAACCACTGCTTGCAAGCAAAACCACTCCAGAGGATGCAGAGGGAAAACCACAGCTCTACAATGTGCCATGGGAATAACAGCCCAGCACCTGCAGCATTTGAGCTGTAATTTGGCTGCTCACACTCGCTGCATCAGTTGCTCGTATGTCACAGGCTGTGTCAGGGGTTGCTTTTACCCGTAGGATATTAACTCACATCCCACAGCTGGATCCCACCATCCTGGTACCCAGCCCGAGTTCCCAGCCTTGAGTTCTGCCACCGTTTCTCCTGGTACATCCTAAATACCCTCAGCCCCCAGATGAAATAAACCCCTGTCATTCCCCATTAACCCACAGGCATCAGCACAGCCTTGGAGCAGGGCTTACCTTAAGAGCATCCAGGATTCGGCCATCATAGTCTATCACTACGGTGTCACCCTGCTCCCCTTTGAGGCCAGGGGGACCCTGCAACCAGGACAAATCCCATTTAGTTTTGCAGCATCTGATGAGTGGGTGGAATGAAAGCAGAGACCTGACCCCCCAGTGCTTGGGGATCACCTTAAAACACCATTGGTTTAATCCATTCCTGGTCTGGCAGCTCTAGCTGGCATCCAACCAAACCTCACAAGGGCTTAATTCACTTAATGAAGACTTATGCTTGAGCACTGCCAGGGATGGGGCAGCCACAGCCTCTCTGGGCACCCTGTGCCAGCGCCTCAGCACCCTCACAAGGAAAAACTACTTCCTAATGTCTCCATGGCAGTGTTCAGTACCTACATACGGGTTGGTTTAAATAAGCCCCATCTCTGTTTTCTAGCACTGAACTGATCCTGAAGCGATTCAGCCACAGACTAAGCAGAAAGAGGTGGTGGGGAACAGCTCAGGTCAAGGCAAATACACAGTTCCAGACTGAAGAAACAAAACCCTGAACATCCATACCCGGGGTCCGATGGAGCCAGCTCCTCCCTTCTCACCAGGCTCACCCTGGAAAGCAAAATCACAATTTTGGGTCAAAGAGATCAAGGAAAACAGAGGATATTTATCTTTAAGACACTGCAGCCACATGAGATGCCAAGGTATGTTTTAGATTAGGAAACAGAATGGCACCAACAGGGAGCTGCTTCTAGCAACAAAACCTAGATCTGAATTCAGAGCAGTTATATTTTGCATAAAATAACGTTGGTTTGAGCTAGTTGACAGCAAGAAAACATCTCATTGCAGATGAGATGGAGAAGAGTGGCCTGCTCGGGGCTGAGCATCCTGTATCCCCATAAGGGTGATGTGCGGTGCTGCTCCCTGGCTCCACTGTTTGCTCCGAGCGTGCCAAGCTCCAGCTCTTCCTGCTGAAGCTTCACATGGCTCCACCTTTGCTTTAGGCTGAATTCTGTATGTGTAGAAAGTTTTAGCTGACACATTTAAACCATTTCTGAGGGCAAGTTTAAGGAAAAGGCTGTGCCAGATTCCCTCCCCTCATTTGCTGGTCAAATTAAGGCCCTCTTAAAAGTAGAAAATGGTATAAACAGAAAGATTCTCCATAGGAAAACTCCATTCAGCAAATACCATGGGGAACAAGCACTGTTAACGTGGCTTTAGTGAAAACTCAATGGCTAAGGGTCACCTGAGCCCATGTTTCCTCCTCATACACAGTTTCTTGCCCAACAAGGAGCCATGACTGATATGGAAACACATCCTGCTAAATAAGCAGCAGCTGAGGAGGGAATTAACAGCCCACAGATGCTGTCCAGGTCTCATCATCCCCACTTAACATACCAACATCTCCTATTGCATTGCTTGGCAGTAATGAAGGTCAATAGAACAGGATGGCACATAAGCGCATTGGGCTTTGAAGTGATGCTGCAGCCAACGCTGCATTGCATCCACATGGGAGCAGAGATTTAGTTCCTTAGGGAAACCAGGCAACTCAATGAAAAACAACTCAAAACCCCTGACACTGATCTCTGCTTGGACACAGCTTTCATTGAATTACCAGAAAAAGCTACAATACTTCTTGACATCCCCCCGATTTGCTTCAGTTTGGGCACTTTATGAGCCTTTCAGAGGCAAAGGCCTAAAATACCCCCTCATCGGAAACCCTGGGCCTCATCAGTGCTGTGCCCAGCTTCCCAGCTCGTGAGCTTTTACTTACCTTGGGACCTGGCAAGCCATCTGTGCCGTTCTCTCCCTTGGGACCCACACTTCCTTTTTCTCCCTGAAAACAAGACCATTTGGACAAATGCTATAATGGGTAGGATGGAGAACAGATTTATTCAGGCTACAGTTGTCTCGCTTTAGCTTTACTTTTACATCCATGAGTGAGCAAAGCTCTCCTTTTAGCCTGAAATACATCACATTGCCTAAGTGCAAAAGGGAAGGTTTTGAGATATAAATGAAGCTTTCGGCCTTAATGGCTATAGGTGGGATGTTCAGCCATAAAGTCAGCCCCAAAACCACACCCCACTGCACACACATCCCAAACCCCAGCAACAGTCCCCCATTTACTTCTGCAAGAGGAGCCTCTAAATGGCAATTCTCTGCCATAGCCAACAAGCTGCATTTACAAACACCTGCGGTGGCAGAGGGTGCGTTATGCTTCTCATTCTCACTTTCTTCATGTTACAGAATGGGTTGGATTGGGAGAAATGTGCTCCTCAACCTGCCCCAGCTGTGATACTGTGCCAAGAAAACACATAGCAAAAGATGCTGCCAAGCACGTGCATTAGATGGGCACAGCGCAGAACATACCTTAGGGCCCATCAGTCCTGGTTCCCCAGGGATCCCATCATCACCCTGAGGAAACAAAAAGTGAAACACAAAGAGCTTGTATGCACTCGTCATAGGATCCAACATCATTTGACCCCTCTCAGTGTTGGACGGACCTGAGACCCACTCAGGTTTGCAGGAGAAAGCTACAGGAAGGAGCCCAGGAAGCTCCAAGTGTGGTCCCCTGCTCCCGCCCATCTCTGCCTCCTGTGCTTCCATGGAGATGGATGGGATCTCCCAGAATTTCCTTACAGCAGGCCGTGGGGAAGCTGCAATCCCATTTTTAATAGAAATTGGATATATAATCCATTTAGGCTTTTTTTTTTTTTTCTCAAAGACCTCCTGCAAGCTGCCACCCATCCTCATGGCCCTCATCAGCACGCCCGTCTGCAGGTTTCCTTGTTCCGCTCATCAATGCTCCATTGTTCTCTTGGAGTAAAACCACTCACTCCATAGGTGCTGAAGAGGTTAATTTTACTGGCCACTTATGAACTCTTTTAGGCCAAATTCTAGCCTGGAAATCACCCATGGCCAGGTCTGTTTTGGGCCAAAGCAGTAAGAGGGAAAGGCTGGGCCCTGTCAGCGCTTTGCTTCAGTTAAAGGCAGTGATTTATCCATTGCTTGATGGCACCACCAGAAGGAAAGGTGGAGAACTGGGGCATGCAAACCTCCTGCAGCCTTCAACACCCAACCCGAGCAGTGCGCCTGTCCTTAAGAGAGTGGCAGTCCCCATAAGGCTGAGATGCTGTGTGATGATGTCTGCCCCAGGAACCTCAAACCCATCCAGGGAGCCCTGGGCAGAACACAGTCCCCAGGCGCTTCTTGGTTCAGCTTGAGTTATTGGAGAGAAAGGGCTCAAGACCTACTGCTTTGTTTGGCATTTGTTGCTTCATTCTTTGTCTATTGAGCAGATGTGATTGCAGCTTCTGGCTGGCTTGGGGTAATGAAAACCAGGCTGCAGGCACAGCCATGCCCATGCTTTGGGGTTGCTCAGGAGAGAAACCCCAGGGAACACAAGAAAAGGTTTGGTATGGATAGCCACGACCATGGATCCATTGGTCTCTGGCAGTGGTTTCCTTAGTTGAGCACAGAGCAGAGCAAAAGGAAATAACAATTATATGCATATATGTATAAATAAATCACTATTTTACCTTTTTCCCTTGGACACCAGGCTCACCCTTCAACAGCAACACGCACAGAGGAGGCAAGTTTAGGGACATAACAAAATAAACCAAATTGCATGGATAGTCAAAGTCAATTGTAACATTAAAATACTTGGCTTGTGTTGACCATCTTCATCCCCCCCAGAATGCATTTCCCAGATTCCCACAGCACATCAGCTTCCAGCCCCCTTGCCTCCCTCCACTCAAGGTTTTAGCACAGGCAATGGTTGTGACAGGGGGTAGGTGACACGTTAAGGCATTGGCAGCTCAAAGACAATGGAGTTTTTGTATCTGATATGAACTGATGAGTACAAGTCCAGTGCAAAATTGGTATGTTCAATGTCAAGAATTCCTGTTAAAATCAGGCAGATGAGAAATTACCCATTACCCACCTTTGGTCCCGGAGGTCCCCTGGCACCCTGTTGAAAAGAAGAGCAGTTGTTTGACAACACAATATACAGGATAAAAACATTCCAGATGCCAACTTCTCATCTTCCCATAGAAATCCAGCCGTAACTTCTCTGTCCTCCCAGTAAATAACATACATTCTTTTACATCTCGTGTATTTTATGTATAATGAGCACCTCTTTATCCAGCCTAGACTGTAGCGAAGTGGAGTCACAATGCCAAGATGCTGCAGAGGGGCAGAAGTGGGGATGCAGGAGCAGCACATCCCTCCAGAGGAACCAAGGGGACTAAGACTGGCCTCTCTTCTCCCCAGGGCACAGGTACCCCTGGGCAAGCATCCATTTTAGCACACCTATATTCCCCACGTGGTTTTCTTTGTCCTCCATAAGCAGTGACACAAACCCAGCACTGAGCTGAAGAGGGATGTAAAGTGACGGGCACACGGGACATGCACCCAAGGATGCTCCTGGGCAATACTAACCACAAGGCCTTCCTCTCCTGGCTCGCCTTTGAGACCCTGCAAAACAGAAAGGCCGACATTGAAGCTATTGCCCCAGTTCTTCAGAATGCTCATCCACAATCAGAATGTTCAGCAACCTTATGTTGCCTGTTTTCTTTTATTCAATTGGTTGCCAGTGATCTGGAGACTTGCAACAGGTCATCCAATGGCTACAGATTGGGGAAAGAGATCTCTGAGCTCTCCCAGTTACACCCAGCACCTGCAAATACGTGCTCCAGGTCCAGCTCTTTGCTCCAAAACCAAAGATGGAATGATGGAATACCACCTCCTGCTCCCTTGGCTCCATGCCCCAAGGCTTTGCGCTATGAGCAGCATCAGCATGGCTCATACTGGGGACCCAGTGGTTGGGGGGGCATCACTGGGATAAGGGACACCCTTCACCCTCCTCTTCCTCACTGGGGCAGGCACTGCCTGGGATGTGTTCACTGCGCATCTCCCATCCTTACAGGGAGGCCTGGAGATCCTCTTGGGCCATCTTTTCCCGTGTCACCAGGAGGCCCCCTGGCCCCTGGGGGTCCTGGTGGACCAGGAGGACCAGTGGCTCCATCTCGACCTTGATCACCCTGGAAGAAGTTCACACAGACACGGTGAGGTGAAGCAGCGCTGGGAAGCGATGGTGGCAACACATGCACTGCATCCCTGGGCCATCAGCACCCTGACCAGAGGAATGGAGTTACAGCTGCCAATTGGGAAGGCTGGAAGTGAGCTCACGGCCAATTCGCACCCTTTGGGTCTGGCTTCTTAACCAGGATTTTGCTCAATGCCTTCCAATGAGGTTTTAGCTCATTAAGTGCTTGCCCAGTGACTGTCTGCATGGGAACTACTAGAAATAACCAGACTCAACAACATGCTGGCACGGGGCATGCACACACTCCCACGGCTCGGTGCACCTCACCAGAACACCCACAAAAACAGTTGCATCCTTTAAATGCAGCCAAGGTCATTTATGAACAGCCAGCGCATTGCCTGGATGCAAAGGCAACAGCAGCACATGTATGCATGTGTGATGGGTCTGGAGGGGTGCTCCCCATGGGGCTCCACCACCCAGTTATTAGTTCCCAACCCACCCAGAGCTCTGGCTGGTCACATCCCTGCGGATGCACAATGGAAAGCCTCATGGAAAGGCCACCTCATAAATCTTGTAGCAACATCTGGAAGAGTCACCGCCGAGGCAGTAAGAGGACTGGGTTTAATATGTGGTCTGCCCTCAAACCGGGGACAAGTGTGGGACTTTTCACAAGCCCTTAAGTGACTTAGCAGCACAGATCCCACGGCCTTTCAACAAGATCCATGCTCCTAAATCACTTGCATGGTGGGGAGAAAAAAAGCCCATTGCAAATGCTGAACACTGCATCCAATTATGTCAAGAGTCACTGAATTTTGCCTAATTATAATGTCACATTTAGAGTATGGAGATTCAGAGAACTCTAGTTTTAAGGCATTTTGTTTGACCAGCACTGTTCATATCAACACCTATAGGACATGGCCGCTTGATTCCCAGTTCTCAAAGGACCGATACATCACTTTGATGTCTCTCTGCTTTGACAAACCCCCCCTTAAACTCCAATGGGGTTTCACTCGGGCACACTCCCAACAAGCGCTTCTGAGCATCCTCCTAACAATAGTGCATTATCAGCCAGAAAGAAGCGACAAAAGCAACTCAAAGAATCACAGCAAACCAGCGGAGCACATTCACAAGGTCTACCTTGAGCACTCGCCGGCTAAAGACAAGCTGATCATTAGCCAGAAATCCATGACTGAGGTGAGGAAACACCATCTAACCGGGTAAAGTGGGAGGCAGAGGAGGAAAGAGCAAGAATTTAAGATGAAAGCACAGCAGAAAAGTGAGTTTTAGAGGCTGTAATAATAATATCACATTTTTTTCTCTGATAATTAATTGCTGCATGAGGAACAATGATGTAGGTAGCCAACAGTGGTTGTTTTAATGTTCTGGATACGCTGGAGCTTCGTAGTTGGTAAACAGAGGGAAACAAGTATCTTTTCATTAGCTTACTGCACAATAGGACATTCAAAGCAGCTGGGGTAGAGAGGATTCCCCTACTGCAGGGCTTTCTGTGGAATAAAGAGCATTATTCCAGTAGACCCCATAGGGATATATCCCAGCATTTCTCCCGAGACCAAATACTATCTCTTTTTCAGAGGCTAAAATGAATACTAATGTATTCCCCAGCCTGTAAAATGCAGATAAATCTCTCAGACTTATATGATGCAAAAAACAATGTATTCAGACCGTGTCAGTAGTCATTGCTATTGTCTTTGAGCCTTTCCACTTATCTGTCTAGGGAGGAGAGACATTTCCTTTTCTCAGGACACTGCTTGCGTCTCCCTTTCCCCCCATCCATCCCTGTACACATCCACGGGAGGACCAAAGGGATGGTGCAAAGCCACAGGGAACACAGAGCACATCCCCCATGAAGGTTTTGGAAGGTTTCTAAGGAACAAACCTCTTATCCATTCATCCAGGGACCTTTTAAACACATACCCCTAAACCTGAGTTTTGGGTCCATAGTGCACTGGCAAACCCACCTCCTGCCCAGCTCCCAGGACAAGCTCAGCAGCAGGCGTGCATAGGTACATGGAGCATGGATGTTCTAACGCAGTCATCTCAGAAAGGGAGGGGAAAGGCAGTGGCATGTTAAAAACTGATGAGCCTTGGCAAATAAACCCCTCCCAGTGATTTCTTTCAAGCCATTCTGGGGAGGAACAATGGTGAAATGCCCAGAGTTAAAACCCCAAGTTGGTGGCATGCTGAAACGAATGGGGACACAGAGTCCTGGTGCTCGGCCAGGTCTTCCAGATACTACAGAAACCAAAAAGGCTCTACTGGGAGCAACGGGTTTTGTGGTAGACTCAAAGGACCGAGTTTTATGGCTTCTTACATGCACAAAGATACACAAGAGCATTAAGTGGGATTTGCAGAAAAGACCAAGTAAGACATGAGCTGAAGCCTTTTTCTTACCCCTCAGGTTGCTGAACACCATCCAAGTAAACACTTTCCAAGCTCAGGGAGCGAGTCTGGTTTATAAACCAGTCCTTTCCATTAGCATAGCAATGTATTTGATTTCAAGAGAGGAGCACAAGCACAAGTGTGAGGGTACAGCCCCAGCCTTGGCCACATCCTGCTTCAACTCCCTCTTTCCAACCTAGAGCAGAGGGAACCTGTTCTTGGTGCCTCCTTTTAAATACACTCGTATGCACTTTATCAGTGTCTGGTTGTGTTTATGCCCCATCCTGCTGAGGCGAGGCTGCACAACAGCCCTGCTGATGCCATGTGCAAGAACTAGTGCTCAGCGCCTAACACAACCCAATGTGAACTCTTCATTCAGCTCCCCGAAATCACCCTCCAGCAAGTGCCATCAGGCCCACTCAACACGTGCAATGACCCCTTTTTTGCCCATGCTGGTGGCAGGTCCTTATTAGAGACAGAAAGAGAAGCAGTGCAGACATGAGCACATTCAATTGCTAGTCCCTGATTGCCTTCATCTTGCTTCCACCATGAGAAATCTGCCTTGAGCATCGTTCTCTTTTAATCTATCATTCCTAATGATAATATTTTTGCGCTCACTGACACACATTATCCCCACTCCACTGCCCATAGACACACATTTATGAGAGAGAGGGCGCTGGATATATCCCTGGTTATTTATCCTCCCATTGATGCGATGACTTGCTGCAACACATCTTTCAAAATCAGCTGAACAAAGCCAGCACTGAAACTTGAGGAAGAAGATAGATTACATTAAGAAATAAACCCCAATCTGTGCCAGATGGTATTAAGAAGTTTTGTATCCAACCCACAACCCTGTCTGCAGACATAAAGGATGCTGTTTTCAAAGCCAGGCAGCAGTTTTCACACCTACTTGTGCATGGCCCTGCCAGGCTTGTGTCTTTCCCTTTCCTCCCAAATTGCTTGTGAGCTTTTGTACCGCTCTTGTGCAGAATGACATAAATAAACCTAAAAGTAATAAAGGTCAGGAGGAAAAAAATCCCCATACATTTTTATTGGTAGGTTAGCACATAGGACAAGTGTTACCTTGGGAGCTGGCACTTGCCCCTGTGTGTCCAGATGGAACCTGTCCCCAGATCATCTCCATCAGGAGGTGGGTTCCCACACCACACCATCCAGCAGCACAGAGCACAGCAGCCTTGAGCAGCATCTCCTTTGGCATCGTCCTGGTCACCAGCCCCAAAGTCATCCACAGCCCCAGCCAGGGAGTGAAAGCTCACACTCCTCTGCTGCTGAATCACCTCTTAAAGCCTTTTCTGAGCGTGGGGTGGGCACTTGGGCAAGGTGGGGACCTTACAGCAAGCCCCTCCTTAGCCATGCAGGGAATAAATCTATGGAGTTTTAGGGGCTCTCAGAGCCCAAGGGTGATGTTTCCAATTGTACCCAAGGCAGTTGGGAGCTGCTTCAGAAATGACACCAACTTCAAGCATTGACTTAGGAGCCCCTAGGGGAAGAAAGGAAAAGGACTCCAAGGCATCTCTGCCCACATTAACCCCTGAGGTCCTGGCTGTGCTTCCAGCAAACGCATCCAAACCTTCCAACCGACCCTTGGGAGCCAGCTCCAAATCTGGGCTCTCCATGGGTACCAGCATCTGAGCACATCCCCAGCAGGAGCCCATAACTCACCTCTGTCACAGAGACAGAGCCCACCTTGGAAATACCATGTACCTCATAGTGAGCCTTCTGTTTCGTCCCCAGCATGGGAGACTTTGTGCTACTGCTGCCACCACCAGCACCACAGTGGGACCATGGGATAGCCGCGTTTCTGTCGCACCCCATGGGGCCCTATCTTGATACACTGCAGTAAATCTCAACTTCATGCAGCCCCAAGAGAGCCATTTCCACAAAACTCCATTAATTCCCGTATGTTATAGCCAAAACAGTTTGCCCTCATCATACAGTTACTTCAAACCCTTTATTTTCCAAGGCAGCCTCTGGAGTGCCACCACACTTCCAGGTGGGTAACTCAGCAAGAGAGAGGGAGCTTTCCATCCTACACAATGCCATGCCAGGCCTTTCCTTGGGACACCAGGTCTTACCACCACGTACTGGTGCTCTAACACCAACAAATGAGGAGCACGGATTCAAGAGAAACATGGGGCTTGTCTCTGACACTGGAAGGGGTAATTGGGGATATAGGAAAGTCCAGTAAAAGCCAAAAACCTCATGAAGCACCCAAAGGTCTTCAACTCTTGTTTCCCCCATGGTCAACGATAGGAAAACCACCAGAAAGAGCTCCAGTGGCAAAATTAAACATTTCCAGAGCTCTCACCCTACCTCATTTTGCAGCGCCAAAGCTGCACAAAGCCTTGTTTTGTGCAGTGACCAAACCCAACCAGACCTTGGTACAAATCAGTGTGCTGTGTCACTACTTACCCTCGGGCCGATGTCCCCTGCTTCACCCTGTGCATCAGGCAAAACAGGAAGGGTCAGCTATTAGAGTTCAGATTGCAACCACAAAGGACCAAGCACAGGGTCAGCTGGATGCGGGAACAGCACAGAAAGGAAGTGGCAAGAGCCCTATTGCTTAATGCATTCAAAACCAGGGAGGAGAAGGGCTGGAGACAACACAATAGGAACGGTTCTGCCCTGGCAGGCGATGAAACAGATAATAAATCAGAAATAGCAGATTGCTTCCAACTCTAAGGCTCCCCTAGCAACTGCTGATGTCCTACACATGCGATTCACTTTCAGTACAGAAACAACCTTCTTTGGCTGGTCTAATTTCATGGGAGGATGACATGCAAACACAGAGTGATGGAGCCCGCAGCCTTGCTCCTGGAGGAAGGCAAGGGGAGAGCTGTTTGCCACTCTCCTAGCCCTTAAGGGGTTACTGGGAGCCTACAGCATGGATGAGCTTTAAGGAGATATTTATTTCTCCTACAGTTTTGCAGTTCTTTCTGCCCTCCCCTTCCTGGGGTTTTCCCAAGAGCAACCTGAGAACCCATTGCTGCGGTTCCACATCCCAACAAAACCCAGAGGTAATGTCATGCTGGTTTCATGGGGTAACCTGAACTGAAAGGATTGCAGCAGGAGGAGGATATAGAGGTGCTTCCCCAAAAGCCACACGTTAATGCAGTCTTTACCTTTTCCCCTTTTGGTCCTGGAGGTCCCTGGAAATACATGAGAAGGATCCAAGTTAAGCAATGGCAGAATAATCAATGCACATAGCATCACTGCACTTACCAATTCACAAACCTGAGCCATGTCCACTATCAGTTTATACACACTATGATTTTAAGCTATGCAATGCTTCACATGAGTACCACACCACCAAAAAGCACCAATGAGGTCCTGCCTGCTCTTGCCAGGACAGGGGACCGGAGAAGGACCAGGGCAGCGTGACAGCCACTCACGAACACATGACCCTAAATAGATGCAAGAGGTTTCTTGAAGTATTAAATCACTTCTAGAGAAACACATGCTCAGCATATCATTACAATGATTATACATCTGTTTGAAATAAACAAGGAGGATGGGCTGCTTTCTTTGGCCTGTTTGTTGAACACATAAGTCATCTTCCCCCTAAGCAGCTTTCTGTAAGGCAGGCAGGCAGAGATATGCTGCAGCCCCAAAGAGAAGCCACAGAGTAACGCTTTGATGTGCCTGCTCTGCATCCTCCTTCCAGCACAGAAAAACACTGAAGCTGGACCTGGTGGGATGCAGTGGGGGAAAGCCTGCAGAGAGGCCGGCAGTGGCAGCATCCGCAACCCTGCGCAGCATCCGCAACCCTGCACAGCATCCCTCCTGCTGTTCCTTTGGCTCAGAGGCAAGGCTGCTGGCCCCTTACTGTCATGGAAGAGATCACAAACAGTCTCGTTTGAGTTTGCTTTCTCGATGAGACGTTCCCTGCCTCTCACTCAGAGTCCCAGTGTGCACACACAACTCACAGCAGTCCACATCCCTGTGCCTGCCATAGGGCAGTGGGCGCAGGAGCCTGCTGCTGCTGCTAGGGTTTGTGCTGCTCTCCCATCATGGGGCTTTGCTAATTCAAAGCCAAACCCTGAGCACAGCAGTCTGAGCTGGCCCTTTTGCTTTTCTAATGCTTTATTTCCAGGGTTCTTCTCGCTCATGTTTGTCACCTTCAGAGATAGGATATAAAACCACCACTGCAATGTACAGCTATACAAAACACTCTGGAACTGCCTAGAAATAAGCATCTGCAGTAACTTTTCAATGACAAAGACTGAATGACTCCTGCCCCTTTGAAAATCACAGTTGGTTTAGGACCAGAGCTTGAAAAGATTTCACATGGTGCCCTCCTGTGAACGTGGTGGCACAGAGTGGGATTTTGGCACAAACCAGAGACGTGACCTCCCGTAGCAGCCATCCAGCTGAAGGGATCGGAGCTGACTGGGGTAAAGCTGGCCTAAAACCAAAAAACTCTGTGTTTCTGTCAAGTAAGTCAGAAAAAAGAGTGGGGAACCCGAGTAACTGAAGGGCTTCCAAGCAAAAACGAAGTCAAGAAAACAGCTCATAAAGCAAAGTCTAGGCTGTTCCACAAAGTATTGGATGGACACCGAGCACTCCCAAGCAGTTCCCACCTGGGCTTCTCTGGGGGGAAATGGACTCAATTTGGGAACAATTACCTTTATGATAGCCCTTTTCAGTGCCAACGCATGCAACCACAATCACTGCCTGCTTCTTCCAAGGTGCTACTGGAGGTGATTTCCCCAGTTTGGCCTGCCTCAAAGCCTCCACTAGCCAAGATGAGCTGAGGGGTAAAGCAAAGCTCACCTCGAGTTGTGCCAGCCCTGGCTCACGATATCAACTTGCATGTGTTACACACCATAGAATAATCTTCCTAAACACAATCTCACCTCCTAAACAGTTACATGTGTAGTAATGAACAAGCAATAGCTGAGACTCTGCCTACGTATTACACAGCAGTGTGAATCAAGACATGTTACATTTGGCACTCGGTGCTACTTACTGGTTTGCCATCCAAACCAAGAGGCCCCTGGAAAAGGAAGCAAAAGACAGTGTTATTAAAAACCAGAAATAGTTAAAAACCCCACTATATTGCAGAGACAGCAATCAGTCATGCTCTGAAAGAGGCTCTATTTGCTTATAGCACTGTCTTTGGCTATGTTACTTGTTACCTAATCCTTCATCCATGCAATCCAGCAGGAAGGTTTCACAGAAGTACAGTAAAGGCATCAATTTGCAGAGGATGAAGGAGTGTGAAAGGAAGCGACAGGATTAGTGACAGGGACAAGGTGACACTGCTCTAGCAATGAAATATGCCTGATTTGGTTAAACTGAGCAGATCCTGGGCCTGACTCACATCAACCTCGCACCTGAACTGATTTGTTTTTTGCTAAAGGACCTGCTGAAACACTACTGTTTTACCCAAGATATAGGGATCAGCCATCTCCCTCAGTCCATAAAGGTAAAGCTCATTGATGGGTGTCTTGCTGCAGAGGAAGGAAGAGTGCATCTGCCCCTTGGGATGATACCCATGTGCTTGGCTCACCTGCAGCGATACAGAGCTGGAAGCACGCTTGTATCTGCAGGACTAAGCACTTAGTTACTCAACTTCTTACCCAGGGCTCCCTTTCTGGTGCTGCTGCAGGAATTCCTTACTATTTCTAGTATGTAAGCCCTTAACTAACATGAAGTCACTGAACCTGTTTGGCCATAGGAAACTTTGCTTTTGAGAAAGGATCATGGGAGGAGAGGAAGCACAAGTGCTCTAAGGCCCATGGATGAACCCAAAGCTACAGCTGGCACACTTAGGGATGAAGAGGAGCACAGAACAGTGTAAATCCCAGAACTGCACTTCCACCGATCCACAAACTGCCACTTGGGAGCTTAAAACCTTTCCTCATTTAAACCCAAAGGCTCACTCAGCCCTGCAAACCATTCCTGAAGAGACATGGCATGATGGCTGTGAGTCAGCAAAGCCCTCGGACAACTGCTTCCACCTCCACGTTTCCAACATACGCTCATGTGCAGATGTGCTGGGCTGAGACATCTTCCAACATTGCAGTGCCATAAACCAGGAGGACCCACCAAAGCAAATGTAGTTTGGATCATGGGATAACACAGTGATAAAGCATCAGTGTTCTGTATTTCTTAGGGAACTGATTAGGGTGAATCTTTTATAGTTTAGCTTAAATCTGTGATGGCAAAATTGAGCAAAAAGAGAAAGATGGGTAAGAGAAGCTCAATGGCAGCATTAAAAATAGCATCCTTCCAGCTTACAGTTCTGCCCATTGATAAGGGATAAATCAGTCTGCAGGGACTGTGAGGACCGGGCTTAGGATACAAAAGCCTTGAGACACAGGGTTAGGCAGCTGAACCCTGGGCAGGGCATCGGTACCTGTGTTACAGGGCCTGGGGGACCTGCATAAGAGAGGTTCACCTGAAAATAAACAGGGATTTCTTCACACACCCCAGGTTTCTGGTGACAGACATCAGTTATACTGTTCACACGGTGTGCGTTGTTTCTCATAAGGGACTAGCAATGCACAACTGCTACGGAGCAGTAATGAATAAATGAATGCAGGCACATCCATTAATGAGAAGTGTTGCACGTCGGAACCAAACTACTATTTCTTCCCCTAACACCACCCTGTACTTTATCTCACCTGAATTCCTTACACTACAACACCTGGGAAATGCATCAGGCCCATGGAGCTTCTTCCTGAAACTACGATGGTTTGAGGCAGTTCACCTGATGCAAGCCTCCGACCTCCAGAGGACAAGATGTGGGCCCTGAGCACAGCAATCGAGCACGTCAGGCTTCTCCAAGGAGTAGAATCCAGACTTTTTTCAATTTACAATGCCAATTCATGAGCTTTTAGCTATTCTTGTATCGGCCCACAAAGGCACATCCAGAAGGAAAAACAATGGCCTATTCAAAGGATGTTTGTTTGAGGGAAAGCATTTAATGCTTGAGAGAAACAATACCCATTGGGCTTTCAAAGAAGCCCTTGGCTAGCTGTGCTGCTGAATGGACAAGACTAACTCAGCCTTTCAAACGTCATGTTAGTTTGGGCTGGAGATTAAACTGAGCTCTACCTGCCCAGACAAATGCCTACATGAGCAAAGGGAAGGTTTCCAGCCAGAGGACTGCATGTGTAACATAGGAGAGAGCATCTGAAATCTGGGCTTCTGACTGCCTGCAACTTTCAGGAGTACGAATGTGCTGAGACTGTTATTGTCTTTTATGGGACTTCTGCTCCATGTCATTTTAATTAAAGATGAAGCAATCTTTAGTTTATTTGATAACTAAGAAACAGGAAAACCACGAGTAAGCCCCTATTCCCCGAGTCAAAAACCTCCTCTAGAGAAGTTTGCATGTTGGGGGGCAGACAAAAATCGCTAGTACAGAGTGCATGAAAAAGGTGAGTTTTCTGGCCACCCCATTCCAGCATCACAGCGGCTTCACTCTGTGCTTTTTTGGCCAGGGATAAACTTCACTCATGCCTTAACCCTGTCTCAATTACAAGCCTTTTACTCCAAATCACGCAGTGACCACACTTGATGTAATTAAATGCTCACTACATTGGGAGGGGTGAACTTTCCATTCAGGACAAACTTGGTGTTTGAAGACAAGGTAGAGAGAAAACTGAATCAACTTCCCCCCAAACCCGGTTCTGACTGAAGCCATCAGTGCACCCCAAGCAGGACAGAAATCCATCGATCCTGGGGGCTTTGAGGGAGATGGCACTGGTGTGGTCCCAGCTGACATCCTTCGGTGGTCATCAGAGCCCATTCCTAACTGGTAATCAACTCGGATCTCATTTTCTGACTGTGCCAGAGCAGGAGGAACTGAGCTGAGTGATAACTGCAATTACCTTGGCTTTACCTCTCACAAGCTGTTATGCAGGTAACATGGTGTTCCTGCAGGCAAAATGACCCAAACCATGGCGCATCCCCACTGCCATCGCCTGGGTGAGAACATTATTTATATAATGGTACATATTTTGATATACATTAATGGCGTATTATTTAACTATACAGTTATAAAATGTTGCTGAGAATACAGACAGGTTGATAAGACGTTGGGGCTATGTGATGTGCTCTTGCTGCACACCTTGGTTTGGCCATGCAACACTTTAGCTTCAGAGGAAGGGGGGCACATTCAGCTATGTTTTAAAACAGATTCTGATTTTGTTTCTCAGTGGAAGCTCAGAAGTCTTGGATCTAGCACCCAAATGTCACCTCTCATTCACCCAACACCAGGATTAGCTGAAGGCTTGGGAACAGTTCCGAGTTCACCAAAATGAGAAGACAACAAGCTTTGCAAGCTCCAATTCACATGCAAAAGCTCTTCTAATAAGTAATAAGCATTTTCCCCATACATCCCTCAGAGCAAGCCAGGGGCAAGCCTACCTAACTGGCCCTCTGCCTTCCTCCTCCAGTGCCATTACTGCTGCCGGCAGGGAGGTTCTTGCTTTAGCAGCATTACAGGAGGTTTAAGGGGAGGGGAGCAGACATCACGAGGACAATCCCGAGTTGGGAAATCTTCCCTCATGGTTATTTTTAATGTTTCCTGCTCTGCTAGAAATTAGCGCAGGCGTCAGAAGGAGCCCTGCAGTCAAACTTGAGCAGATTCAAAGGCTGCCTTCCATCTCTGCCTCTGGGGTTTCAAGGGATGGTAACATCTTACACCAGAGAAAGAGGGAAGCGCCAGAACAGAAGAGCACGGCGCTATTCTATCATCACTGGTTGGAGGCGGGGAGCAGGGACCACTCTTTCCTATCGGCTATGCTGTAAATCATCGCCAGCGGGGCAGTGTCTGCTGGCCATGAGGCTCCTCAGTGCATTGTTATAGGAGAGAAAAGCTCTGGTGAAAGCTGTGGCCAAGCACGCGCTGGCAGAGCCGTCACAAGGGAAGTGGAGAGAGGCAGCCAGGTTGCTGTGGCTCCTCCGAGCTTCCAAGAGGAAGGAAAAGGAGAGAAAAGGGATTGAGAAATGAAATGTGAGCCCTGTGAACAGCAGCTGAGAGCCACTGGTGTGAACTGCAAATGAACTGAGTGCAAGAGATGCTCTGGATGTCACCCTGTCCCCAGGTACTGCTACCCCTTCCTCAAGTCCTCAATGGAAAAGAACCAAAAACCCTTACAAGTTTCCACTCCATCCAATAACACCTCTGCTACAGTCATCATCCACCCTCCTAAATAGCAGCATTTAACTATCTGTGAAGAGACAGACTCCATGTATGAAATCAGTCATAGGAGGTATTATCCTGCAGGCACACTGACTGCAATGGTTCTGAGCCTGGGCCAAGTCCTTGGTGTGAGGTTCCACCAGCATCTGCCCAGACCTCTGGGGTGCCCAAAGTGAGACCCCAAAATCGTGCCAGCCTGTGGCACAACACAGCATTGGAAACATTCCTACCAGAAGCTGTCTTACGTACGCATTAAGATCGTTACAATCATGATAGCTTCATGCTTAACTTTATATTGCGTGGATGGTTTCACTGGACTGGGGTTGCTGCACAGGAGAACAGCCATGCACTTAAAAGTATACATTTATTTTCCAGCATGAACATGATTAATACCAATCTTTTGTTCAGAATTTTATGTTTCTTTGTTTGAAAAAAGCTATTTCAGTATTGTCCAACACAAATCCCCCTTCGGTCCATGACTGCATCCAAACCTGAGACCTCTTCCTCATTACTGGGTCATAGGCTTTTCTTTATTAAAAGAAAATCAGATTGCTCTATAGTCTTATTATAGGCACAAAGCAGCCATGACATTTTTTTTTTAATGTTTGTAAGACTAATGGTTTTAATTTCAAAAATAATTTACATTTGTCATCAGTGTGTTTTCCTTCCCTATGGAATTAAAGAATACTTGAAGAGGGAAGCTTGGCTAGCCTGGCTGTCACACAGGTGGTACAAGTCTTTTAAACCTGTTTTCTGGGTAAATCAATAAAACACCTTTTATTCCTCTTATTATTTTTCTTTTTAAAACCATTAAAGAGCACAGAGCTCCAAAGCAAGCC